TGTGACATTCCTATCTGCAGTCAGGAGCTACAAGGAATCCCAAAACCTATTTGCATAGAAACAAAACACTTCAAGGAAATTAACAAATATATATTGTTGCTTCATGTATACTGTGTGTGTGCATGCAAATGTGCCCACCTTCATATGTTTTTGGTTTTTACAAAGGAGAACTTCAGTCACTGTATTTGTCAGAAGGCTCTAGTCCCACCTAAACTAGTAGCTCCACCTGCACGCCCAGGGAAGTCATATCCAAATGTGAAATCGTTCTGTCTTAAACATGTATACAAATGTACTCTTTATCAGACGATGTTGTCCCAAAAGTTAGAAAATTTCTATTTAAAAAAAAAATTCTGTCTTAAAATATGTGTTGTTGTTTTTTCCCCCCATTATTTTATGCAGGCCAATTAGTTATACGTCAGCTTGTACACCTAAATTCGGCCAATCATATATCAACAGTCATCTGTCAATCAAATTTTTCCAGTCATAGCATCTGGATTCATATGTCACAGCTAATATACGCAACGGTTGAAATAAGAAATAAAAATTCTTTACTTTACCATTGAGTTAGCTCCCAGCGTTCAACCAGTCATCGGGGCCAGCTTATTCAAGCCTTTGGTGGGAGTCTTCTAGCAAATCTAAATTTTTCAGATTGCCTGATCCTGACCCGTTCTGCCTCTGGACCTCTGAGCCTGCCTGTTCCCGTTCTTATCTGTTTGCCTGACCTGTCTTTGGTCTCCTGCTGGATTCTGCCTGTTTACAGAACCTGGAATTGATTCCTGACACCATCCTGGATTTCCCATCTGCACCTCTTTGCATCTCTGATCTCCTGGTTCTGACCACCGTGCACGCCTTCAACAATGGTTTTGGCTTCGCCCTCAGGATTATCCTGCCTTCCTTCATCTGCTTGGTTCTGATCTCCTGCCTGGCCTCCAGGACTTCAGCATCTGGGACTTTCTGGGCAGTGTCTGCTACGTCTTGTCGGCAGTCGACCAGCTGGAACCAACTGGGCACGCACTGAACTTTAAGACCAGAGGTTCTTACCTTAGACTCTACCCTACCTTGCCTTCTCTGTTCACTTCAGAGCTGTTTTCTTAATAAACGCTTTTGAGAAATCTGTCTATTTGTTACGAAAACTGGGTCCTCTGTTCTGAGCCTTGACAGTACCACAAAGTGCATATGTTCCAAAATCCTTTAGAATGTTTGTTGGTAAAAAAAAAAACAAAAAACAGCACAATGGCCATGAAACCCCCAAGACAGGAGTTGGATGTTTGTGAATGGGAAGATTGTGTTTATGCAAGGTATTCCAAGAAGAAAACCTGTTAGCAAGTGCAAAAGACTTGATACTGAAGGTAGGTTTATTATTCAGTAGGTAAACAACACTGAACAGAAATCAAAATCTATAATGGCAAGATTTAGATCAAAGCACATTAATGTGTTAGAGTGCCCCAGTCAAAGTTCAGACCTTAATCAAAAATTGATTAAGGTCAGTTTTTAAGCTTAAGACAAAAATTTGGCGCAAGAGTTAAAAACTAAGGTTCACAGAAACACAGAGAGCTGTTCACTCATGCTGTCTCTCCAATCTGACCAGGACTGAGTTATGATGAAGAAAGAGAAATGGGTAAATACATTAAACCCTGAGATGTGTAGAGCTGGTAGAGACATACAGTCAAACCAAGATGTTAAATACACACTTTGGAGTACAGTAATTTGCAAAACAATTAAATGAAAAAATGTCTTTTTATTTCTCTTTACGGTTATGTTCTCTGTTGGCGTAACGAGACAAAGTATGGAAGAGTTGAAAACACCTGAATACTTTTCCAAAGCAACATATTATTTCCATTTGTTGCCTAGAGTGAGCTAAAGCTGCAGTTAGGGAAAATGAGCAGGTTCCACTGATGTTGCCATGATAAAATGATGACGGTAATAATGCTCACAATGCTGCTGATGAAAGCAAGCTGGTGATTCACCATACCCTCTCTGAAATAGAAACACTCTGTGTATATCTGCTCCGTGTCCATGGTGATGACTGTTAAAGTATGACATCAGAAGCCTTTTAAAAATGTCTGTCTGTCCTTCCAGTTGGTGTGTTCACCTGACTGCAGCACACAACAACCTGAACCTGAAAAAAAAATAAAAAATGAGTGTGGTCTTGGAAAGAGGGCAAACCCCTGAAGTCGGGTTAATCGGAAACAGGAAAGGAACTGGGGTAGACTTTCACTTGCCTGAAGCCCTGTCAGATTTTGTTGGTACATGGCTGTATGTGGGCCATCTCTGGCACAGCTTGACTGAGAAAACCAGGCTACGACACGCAGACAGCAACCTGAGCAACAGCCAGAATCTAGGTTAAACGTAAGGTTATGTAACCTAGACTGAAAGCCCACTTGTGGCTTGCTCATGCTGTAGATAGGAATTTAGGTACAGGATATATCTATGTTTGTCAGTGTTAAGAAAAAGAAGAACAGAAGTGACATAATTAACAAAAATTTTAAGAAATTCGTTTCACTGGTGCACCAATCAGCAAAAATGAATAAATAAATCACTGTATATCTGCCTTGGTTGTTTAATCCTACTCAGCTTACTACTGTAGTACAAAGTAATGTTTTAGTTTTCCACCATGTTTTTGTTCACTTTGTGCTGTTAGTGTGCAGACTAAAAAAAGATCCGCCCCCTCCTGACACATTTGGACACATCAAGACACAGTTTGACAGCCTGCATGGGCAACAGGAAACTCCAACTGTATTGCACAGATGTATTTTGGCCCAGGCAGTGCAATTGTACTATAAATAGCCTCAAAGCCTCACAGAATACTTTGATCATGTGCTATAGTAAGTCACACACCGAGGCACACGCTGTGGATTAGCTTCGGTGTTGCTAAAGGTTTGGTTTTAGCTGCACGTTGTTAACTGTTTGTGCTTTTTTGACGGTATTAATCCTCCCTCAGTCTCCCTGGTATTTACTCCTCATGCGGGTCACTGACAGAGAAGCAATGAGAGTGCACTGCACTGTAGTGACCCCATCTAAAGTGGGTCGCTTTCGTCTAACACACTTACATGCAGAGCTGAAGTCAGCAGGCTATCTGTCTGTCCTCCTGGCCAGAATGTTTGGATTTAAAGATACTCTGGCATTAAGGTTTTTTTTTTTTTTCATTCAACCGGTCTAAGTGAGGCGTATCAACTTGGGGTCAAAGCACAGGCTCATTTCATATTTTTGTTTTTTTTTCCTTTATCTGTCTGTCCATCAGTTAATCTGATTAACTCTGTGTTGCTCTTCTTAGATCCTCCACTTCATTTTTCTTTCTGCAGAGTAGCCAATGATTATCTTTAAAAGCAGAGGCACTGGAATGTTAATCCTTTAATTTTTTTATTTATTTATTTTTTTTTGCCTTACTGGTTCTTCTTGCACAGAAATATCTCCCTTTGCATTGAAATTGCATAAATAAACATCATTCATGTATTTTACTAAACTTAACGTGAAAGTGGGAAAATAGGACATATTTTAGTAAAAGAGTTTGCAGGTTTTACCCTGACAGCCATAATTGTGATTTCCATCTACAGTTCCTCTTCAATGGAAGGAGGCTTCCTGGAGCTCCAACACCAGCATTAGAGGAGTCATGTTTCAATAAAGTAACACCGGAATCAGAGAGAGAGAGTGTAACCAAAACTAGTGCTTAATCATCATTTTAATGACAGGTTTGGAGGACTTTGTACATATGCCCATCTAATATCGGTGAATGGGAAATGAACTGAGCCTTTTTTACCACTTCCCCACACATTTGCTGAGTTCCCTGCGTGGCTTGTAATAAACTTTTAAATAAGACCTCCTGTGGCTCTCTTTTAACAATAGCTGTATTCTTATCTTTCCTCTATAAAGACCAGATTTAATTAGCACACAACTGAAAAAGAAGAAGAAAAAAAAAGAGTCCAGCCTGTGGACTTCTGTGCAACTTTTCTAGAGGGATCATGTGCCTCTTGACTGTGTCTCTAATCAATGATCTTCTTGGCTGTCTTTTTTTTTTTTTTTTTTTTTTTTTTTTGCTGACTCTGTCAAACTCGGTTTTTAAAGATAGAGCAATAATGTTCAAAGTTTCTTTATACTATTTTTAAATGTAATTTTTTTTAAATATTCAAGGCTTAAAAAATGGATTTTCACAAAGGGCAATGGCTGCAGTAGTAAAATGATGGACAGCAAATTCTGTATAGTCTTAAAGGTGGATTCACACCAATGTCTGCTGGTTTAATGTATTTAGGTATTAAAAAAAAATTTTTTTTAGCTTTATTTTTCAATAAAGTGCTGCTATGCAAATTTTATAAAGATAAATAGTGGTTTTGGTGTCCAGTCTTAGGATATATGGCCACCCCTTTTTTGAAAGGTTAAAAAACAAAGGGTAGAAAAGCTCCCTTTTGAACAGAACTGATTAAGTCTCCTACCAGTTTTTAATCTTAAATAATGTTTTAATGCTAATAAGATGAGAAAACATTTAATACATATTCAGAATAGGTGAATATTGGGCAGGAATTCCAGTAAAGTTCTTGGGGGTTAAAGGTTCTTTAGTTTACGATATTGTCTTCCGACTCGTGCTAAACAGCTCCAGTGTGAACACAGCAGACAGGAATCTGTGGGCAGCACCGAGTCATGAGTGTCTACAGCCTCTCCGTGTGTCACAGCCTGCGTCAGAGAAGACACAGAGGAGAACATGTCCCAAACAAGAGAATAGCCTCCGCTTTACTTCCGGTTACGTTTTAGGTTCGGTTACTGTAAATGTAATTGTATGGAGTGTAAAGCTTTTTTTATACTTTATCCGGTGTTAAAGACTGAATTGATATTCATTTGATTAAACATTTACGAGGTCTATCAATATTTTACAGTAGGACACAATCACGGTGGTAAAGGGGTGGCTGCTGTTGATTTTAGCGTAGCTAGCGACCTCCGACCGTTGTGCGCAGGCGCGAGATTCCCGTTGTTGTCAGGGCTGTTAACCATCTTGATCCAGCCCGTGTCTTTGGCAGCTCCCAGTCTGTCCTCTCATATTCACACTAGTACTACTGTGCAGCTTCACATAAACAGAACAAAATGCTCAGCTGGTCGGACGGCAGCCGGGAGCCATAACTTCATGACCCTCCGAGATCCGCTTTAATAGCATGCTGTCCTTTACTTTTTGGTGAGTAACCAACAACAAAAAAATATAGGCCTACTTCTTTTGTTTTTTTCAGTTTTTATTAGTAATAAACCACAGTTACCTGATCGATGTAATTATATATATATATATATATTTATAGCAGCTAAAATCAGTACAGCATCTGATTAATTAATGAGCAATTATTGGTATTTGTATTGTTTCTCTAATTAAAATAAAGGCATGAACTTTAACGAAACTTAAAGTGGTGCCTTTTTTGGAAATGTGCCCAGCTTTAAAGGGAAACTGTGGCACAGCAGTGTTTAAGTGGCGAACAGAAAGTGGGGAACACTGTTGTCATTGTAGCTGACATGAACATGTGTGTGTGTGTGTGTGTGGGGGGGGGGGGTCTGTTCCCCTCTGCGGAAAGGTCAGGAGGTCAGCTGCCTAATGACTGTTATTATGCCAAACAGGAAGCGACCCCTGCTCCCCCCCACTGTGACATGCGCGCAACATTCCTGCAGGCATGACAGAGAAGGAGTGGGATTTTTCCCCCCCTCTTCCTTTCTGTAATGTAACAGGGTTATGTCGCCTGAATATGAATTTACTGACAGTCGATCTTCTGGTTCGCGTGAACGCGCATGTGCGCGGCGCGCTTCTGCTGCTTTGAACCTTTAAATTATTGATGCGGTCTCAGTGGATACCTAGATGTGCTACGAGTCTTTCTACTCTGTCAGATATGTAATAAATGGGATGGATCTGGGACAGGGGGCTGTCCTTACACTCGCACTGTGCCGCAGTATTAATTAGAAATACTGACATATGTCTTTTGTTAAAGCTGTATAGGTTTGAAAAAAAAAAAAGAATAAATAAACGCACACACATCTGTCTTATTCCCCAAGAAGCTGACTGAGCTGTGTCTTGTTTCATCTCTCCTTTTTTTTTTCTAACAGTGAATCCAGTATGTTATCTTCTGTTAAAACACACAAGACAGCCTTATGTCCATGTCAAGTCCTTGTGGCAGGCAATCAGCACATCTTGCTTGTTGTGTATTTTTGCAGGACAATGGGTATTAGTGCTTAGGTACAGGTTACAGAGGCGTATTCAGAACATTTATTATAAGGGTGGTCAGGCAATAACCAATTAACACTGAGAGGTGGCCGAAAGCAGATAGGCACCAGGACCTCAGGGTCAATCTACACTGTTCCAACAGGAAAATTAACCAGCAAAACATCCATATTTTCTAAATAAAGACAAACCTTACTTTCCTACAGCCTTTACTAACAAATAGATGTATATACTTAAACATCCATGCTTTCTAAATAAAAGGTATAGTGGATCTAATTCTTTCAGTTTTGAGATCTGGGGTGTAAATCTTTTCCATCATCATTACTTACCCACTTTTATCAATAAAAATTCTGCATAAAATTGATATTAACAAGCACTAACGTCTACATAAATAGATTATTTGATACGTTTTTATTAAAATTGTTATTTATCTATGATTTTACTGAAGACTCCCAGATGATTTGCAGAGACACATATTTTTCTTTTTTCTTTTTACCTCATATAACACAAAATCTAGTTATCAAAAGAGCATGAATTCTATACTTATCATCTTTGATGTTAGTATATTGATGTGTATAATTAAAGCTACAGTGTGTAATAATTACAGGGATATAAAGTCAGAAATTTAATATATTATACATAACTATGTTATTTATCATCACCTATGAGCTCAGCCATTTAACCATAATATTTGCGTTGCCTTAGAATTCGTTATTTATAATTACATAGGAGCGGGTCTCGCAGCCATGGAGGCTGACATCTTTGCGCTACGGCAAGCGCAGAGGCAACAAACTAGCGATTGCGAGATCGCCCATTACGCTCGAAAATAACTACGGCAAGTTGAGAGAGATTAACTGAGACGGTACTGAACAGTAGATGGCAGTACTATGCCTGAGAAGCGTTTAGTCTGCCTGAAACCAAAGAAGAAGAAGAAGCAGGTATACTGCGCCTCAGTAACAAGAAAGGTGAACAAGGCGGCAGGCGCGAGTGACTTTGCAAACTGTTTGGCACTGTGTGGCCAAACATCAGACGAATGGAGGATCATGCCTACTCTGTATCACAACGAAAAGCGGCGGGCACCGAACCCCCGTCATCTAAGAAGCGGAAACACGACGAGAATAAACGCAAGCGTGACAAGAAACGACAAAAAACACGGATCAACATTGGCACGGCATTTACACGATGGAAGTCACTGATGGAGGAAAAAGGTTTTCAAAGTGACGCTCAAGTTGCCAGTTTTCTCTTGGACAGGTAATTAATCCTACACACACAATTGTCTAATATCACTGCAGTTTTTGGAGTACAGAATGCTCAGACCTGTCTAAAACAATAACATGCTGCGTGATGATGCTGTTACTCTCCAGTATACTTATTCAGCAACGTCCCTGACGTTTCACAGGTAATGATTCAGTAATTTTCTGTAAAATAATTTTCTGGATATATACCTCGGTTACTTCTCTCCGGCTCCTTTGGAGATCTTCAAGCCTTTCTTCCTCTGCTCTCACCCCGCTGGCTCCCCTCCCTCGCCTGGCCCTAGCTGCACGCCCACCCCGGCCTCTCTGCCCTCGCCCTCTTCCTCGCCTTGTAACCCCCGTGCCACAAACAAGACTTGGACTCTGTAAACGGGGAATATATATTCTTCCAGCGAACACAATCTTGCTGTTAAACTAATGACTACAATTCCTTCGTCTGTTTATATCACCATGCAAAGCAGCTCACCAAAACGTCACAACGATGTAGAAAAAATAACGGGTATATTTATTATCTAAAGTCTACATGAAATCTATACCCTACACAGACTAATGAAATACTATCTGTAAAATTATCTATGTAAACAAACCTCATCACTTGAGAAGGTAGGTGATTCCGACGTCGTGGAAGACATTTTGTCCCCTAACGCTTGCCGTACTGTTGGGGGGGAGAAGCGGTGGGGGGGAGACGTTCATTTTGCTGCAGTCTGGACGTTAGATGTCGCTGAAAATTACACACTGTAGCTTTAACAACAGAAAATTAAAATGTTTTGAATCTTCCACTTGAGAGTATTACTGTTGCCAACATTTGTATTAGAGGGGGAAAAATTGTAGGGGTGGCCAATGATTGGCTAAGGGTGGCTATTGCCACCCCTGGCCCCCCTATCTAGCTCTGCCCCTGACAGATTTTGCCCTACTTTCCTTTATGTTAAGTACATTTTAGCTCCTTTGTAGAAGGTATGCTCCCTTATCGAAGACGCAGAAATCAGCAAGTAGTTTCCTGTTGATTTCATGTAGTAGAACTAGAACTGCCTCAGTTTTCAACCAGCAGCATATGATATAATGCACAAATGAGTATTGGCCAAGAAAAGCCAGATCAGTGCCTCTCTAGTCATATATTAGTTAGTTTTGTTCTGTTTTTTAATCATTTTTGAATGATGTGTCATAGTAATAAGCATGTTGTAAAAAATTAACAGCTTTGGATCGCAGTTTTTTTTTCTATCTTGATATGTAGATTTTTTTAGACCAACTGGTTAAAACGAAAAGATAAATGAAGTTAGAAAAGCAGTTTGTCTACGAGTTTGTTTCCGCATCAATCATGACTTTCACCGTGGGAAAACGTTCATTGTCTCCCGACAGCCGTCTCTATCAGCATTCTCTTCGACTCAGCCTCCCTGCTAAGATCCGTTTCCCTCAAAGTGCTCCTGTTTAGATTCATTTTTCCATGTTCGTATCCAAAAATAGCAGCCACTTGATCCACCACACGCCCAGTCCCAGAGCCTACAACCACTGAACCGTGCGTTTCCATGTATTCTTCACCAAAAAACTTAAGGAATCACTGGAATGTTAATTACTCCTCAGGGCAAAAAAGAAAAGAGATCTGTGAAGTGGCTTTTTTTGCCGCTAGGTCTCTTAAGTGCTTGGCTTGTGGTAACTGAGAGTATTATTTTTATAAGCGCTAGTTTGTAGGTAAATCACTCTCAAAATGGAATTAGCCTAAACAAACTTGTGGCTGGAAACCGGCTAGACCAGGAAGTGCTTCTCATTTCTGAAGTTATGACTTGCACAAAAAGTGCCAGGCACATTCAGCGTCTCACACTGACTTTTGATTAATTATTAGAAATAATTACAGTATGATTACTTATAGTAGAAAAAAAGGTTTACCATGATCCAACTGCTTTTAGTCCAAATAGAAAGGCATCAATTATTTTTGCTCCTACAACATTTGTTTTTTCTGATTTGAAGTTGCGATAATGTTCTGAATAATAAACATGAAATTTGTTATTTATCTCCGACAAATAAAGCTAAGCAAAACTATAAAATAAAGACCTATACCTTTTAAAATCTAGTATTAATTTATGTTTATTGCAAAAAAGTATTATGAATATTGACCGTTTCTGTTTTCAAACGCAGTTTAAAAACATAAATCCTCCTTTAGTCCTTTGATTTGAGTCACACTTTAGTGAACAAAAAAATGTTTTGTAACAGTTTACCCTTGAAATATAATATATTACATGACAATCATTTTACAAACTAGCATAAACAGCAAATATTTACTGCATTTCCGAGAATTATTATTAAAAATAGTCAGCTTATTAATTTATTATTTAATGTGAAAAAAGGTGAGTTTTATTTTTCATCCAATAAATGCAAAAGATTGTTGTTTTAGGTTGGATTTCCAATGCAGATCTTTGAATGAATGTCATATGGTTTAAATCCAGTGTGCAGCAACATGTGGCATGGAATCAGTGGTGTGTTATCTATTGGACCGTATAGCTGAAGAGAAAACTTTGTTTGGCATTATTAGGACTTTGAAAAGTGGGAACACGATGAAGAGAGGGAAAGAAGCTCTGCTTGGTTCTAGAATCAACCTTCCATTTAATTTAGGAAGACATTTATCAACAAAGAGTGGTCGTTATTGAAAACCGTGTTCTTGTCTCTTCTGTGTTCATGCAGAATATATAGGAACCACCAAAGCCAAACAATGAGAGACATCCTTAAGAGGAAGTTTGCAGAGGTAGAGGTAGAGGAAAACCCCTGCTATTCCCCCCCCTCCTCCTCCTCCTCCTCCTCCTCCTCCTCTTCTTCTTCTCCATCTTCCCTCTCCTCTCCCGCCTCCTCGGAGTGGGAGTCCGACGGGGAGGGGAGCTCATCAGAGCTCCAAGATTTCACACCTCACAGTCCTGCCTCAGCCTCCAGCTTACCCAGTAAGTTTGCACCCCTCCTTTTTTTCTTTCAAATAATGCAAACCTTTCTCTCTTATCAGTCTGTTTTCACATCAGCATTTTATAGGAGTGTCTCTTATCAACCTGCAGCAGAAGTTATGACTGAGTGATATGAAAACGTTAGCCCTGAACCCAATTCAGATAAGACATGCAGAGAGGGACCGGCCTTTGCAGAGCTGGCCCGTGGGTGTAGATCATTTGCTTGAGCAATAGGAAGTAGTGGGATCAATTTGAATAGCACGGTCACTTTAAACCAGTCACATAAAATGGCTCTATTTAGAAACGAAGCTGCTCCTGCCATCAGCTGCATCATTTATCCTGATAACTGTCAAACAAGAGGTTGAACTAATGAGGAATACATAGGAGAGAGATGTGAAAGAATACAAAAAAATATATACATATAAATAAATTGATTGCTTTTAATGTGGAACGAATTACTAGAATAGAAAAAAAATATATAAAGGTAAAGGTTCCTCAGAACAAGTAAAACTTAACTACTTCCCTCTGCACAGAGCTCAAAAAGTAAATAATCAGTTCAACTACAAGAGGTGAACTTGAGGTCTTAGAGAAAGAAATACAACAAAAAATAAAGAGAGAGTGTGACAAGAAGAAAGAGATATTCTTCTTAGATCTAAATCCAACATATCCCGATTAAATCCAGGCTGGACGAAAAACACAGGAGAGCTCGACTCAGTGTGGACACTTCTGTAGAAAAAGAAAAAAAGGGGAACAAATAGAGATGTTTCTAAAAAGGTTACAGTGATCTCTTCCTTAGGACAAACACTGCCTTTACAGCACAGTCAGGGATAAACAGATTTAGACTGGATGTGTTTAGATAAACAGAGCAGATGACCCTAACTGCTTTCCCCCGGTTGTTCTTCTTATGTTCAAAGATAAGGTTGCTGCTGATGACAAACATGATCCTGACAGCGGACTATGTCTCCATGGACTATGTTCCAGAAATTATAAAAAATAAGCCTGTCTCCTTTTTGCAGTTGCTTGCTTGATTTTTTTGCACAATTTCCTTCCCCGTTGTGTGTCAACTATTGACCCCAAGAACTAGAGCCAAGTCGGTATTGTGCCCTCTAGTGGTCACTCCGAAACTTGCAAAGGCATTCAAATTTTGTCCCCTTTTAACCAGTCCTGTGGGACTTAAAAACCAGGACATACATGGCTTTTTGTTACAGATAAGCATTTAACCGGCATCATTCAATCAATTAGCATTTATAGAACACTTTCCTTCACAGTGTGAAGCCTAACTGATTATTGTAGAATAGAGTAAAACTGTAAGGCAACAAAATACCTAAATTCAACTAAAACAAGAGAAAGAATGAGCCAAAAGCTTTGAGGAGAGAGATACGGTTTGACTGACTGAGAAAAAGCAGTTTAATTAATGATAATATGATGCAAAAGGTGGATAGAAGAGGTCTTTTCGAAGCTTTCATTCTGAAATCCTGATAATGAGATCCCGATCAGCGATAAAATAAGTGTTATTTACTTTCACTTATCCTCTGACCATAACGCCTCCCCATGACGCCGTCACCGCTGTATTTTGTAACTCCACATGGCGTTTTGTATGTAGCTCCATTTCAGTCTCATCTGGACATTTATCCTTCCTCCAGGCGTTTGCTGTGTATTATAGGCAGGAAGCTATCCATGCCTTGGTAGATTTCGAAGCAGAAAAGTGACCTGAACCCTAATTTGAGATTTTCATTTTTTTTTTTTTTTTTTTGTAGAGGTATCAGAATAAAAAAAAACTTTTCTGATTTTTGGAAAGAAATATTGAAAATCATTCTTTGACATTCCTTAAACTTTGCAATTCTGTTACTTTGTGCCTATATGTCACATAAAATATATTTATGTGAACACAAAGTTTGTTGTTTCAAGGTTAGAAAATAAATGATGTTATATTTTTGATTCTACATGCCTGTATTAGAAAGTCAGTTATTTTCATTGCTTTATTAAAGGTCTTTTTTTCCCCTTCTTTTAATTAAACCAGTTTGGTCTATCCTGAAGAAGCCAAAGCTCTCAAAAAGACCAAGCAGGGTGCGATTCAACCAGGTGACAGTGTTCAGCTTTCCCCGCTGTCAGGGTTTCACCAGCGTGCCCAGCCGAGGAGGTGCCACTCTAGGCATGGTGCGGAAACACAGCGCTCTGCGAAGGTACACTGTGGACGAGTACGCACTAGAGCAGCGTAGCAGACGCAAAGAGAGGCAAAGGGAAAAACTGAGGCAAGAGAGGTTGGAGGCATTAAAAAGCAAGGTAAGCGCTTTTCATCTCCTCAACTTTTCACTTCTGCAAAACCATCTCCTAACTAGAGGTGCTGTTTTGTTAATTCCAGCTGGTCATGAGTGGAGCTGTTGACCAGAATGAAGCGGAGAAGCTGACGATGGATCAAGCTCTGGATGAAGACCTTGACATCCACATTAGTGAGTCTGATTTGGAGGATGGAGGCTTCTTTCAGCCGTTCTCTTCTAGACAGCGTCAGGCTCTGCTCCTGGCAGCAGGGGTGAAAACCATTGACAAGGAGGAGAAGAGGCAGCTTCACACTCTGCGGCTCTCCAGACAGGCCTGTGGCTGTGACTGCAAGGGCTTCTGTGAGCCGGAAACCTGCGCCTGCAGTCAGGCAGGCATCAAGTGCCAGGTACAACACAGAGTCACTAATGTCATGATTTCTTTAAGAGCTACAACAAAAAAAATAAACAAATAAATATTTTCTTCTATAATTTGTTTTGACTGCAGGTGGACCGCTTCAACTTCCCCTGTGGATGCTCCAAGGACAGCTGTGCAAACATTCAGGGGCGCATGGAGTTCGACGCCAGGCGGGTTCAGACTCATTACATCCATACAGTTATGAGACTCGAGCTGCAGAGGCGACTGAAATGTGAAGCGCTCATCTCTGGGGAGCAGGGAGGAGTCTCAGAGGAGCCTCAAGACTTTAAAGAACACAAAGAGGTCCGTGCAGATCAGAGGGAGGAAGAGAACATGTGTCCGTTCAGGTCTGGCTTAGAGGAGGATCAGCTTCCTATCACCATGCCTGCTGCTCCTCCATTCCACTGCCTCCCAGAGCGGCTGATCGTTGAGGAAAACAGCTGCAGCAGCGACATCTCCGAGTCCTCTCTGTCCTCTTCGGAATGTGACACAGGAGGATTCTTCAGCGGGGCTCAGACTCCTCCTGAGGGAGGTTCAACCTGCGACTCCAGCAATAAGAACTTTTACTCATGCAGCCAGATCAGGAGCATGATGGAACCACCGAGCCAGCACGGCTGCAGCTCTGCAGCTACCGCCAACCAGAGGCCACTTTCTCCCATCACCCTTTCAGACAACATGGACCCCAGAAGGAACCATCTTGATGAGAATGCAAATCAATCCAGAGACTTTTTCAATGAAGACTCTTTGGAGGACTTCCCTAACACCCCTTCTCCCACTTTGGACTACTCCTTCAGCAGATACATGGACCTGAGCCTCTCCTCTGACTCTGACCTGGAGTTCTTCCACAGGGACTACCCCTCTGGACCGCTGAACAGCTCCTTCAAAGACTACAGACGCTCAGACGTCTTTCAGCCCCTCCAGCTGCTCAGCTCTGTCAGTTTACCCCAGCAGGAGTCGAGCACCCAGCTGCTGGAGTCTCTGATCGGACTAACTTAATCGACCAAACACCAGATGTGGTCAGATCCTCAGCTTTTAATCTTTCTTGTAGATTACAATTTATTTTAATATAACTTCAAAGCACAAGTACCTATTTTTCCGAATGGAATATTTTTATTTGCCTGAAAATCAAAAGTAATTTTCAGGAAAAAAACACACTTGGATAATTGATGTTTTAGTTGTTTTTTTTTTTTACTGATTCCTTAACCTATTCAAAAACTGTGTATAAGATGTATTTTATATTTACTATGACCAAGAATATAATTCACAAGCACAAAGTTTGCATATGAACTGCAATACAGTATCACATGTAGTAAAGAGCGAGTACAGCTGCTGAAGGAAGAGTGAAGGTGCTTGCTGCTGTGATAGCGCAGGATTCCAGCTCCCAGTTTTAGAATCATTCTCATCAATAAATGTTCACTGGGATGATGATGTATTTATTTATAAATCACTAATTTTGTTTTTTAAAATGGTAAAATAAGAAAAATAATTATGAAGTGTTAAAATTGAAGAGTTTACATGTCAGCGACTGAATGGTCATGGCAGCGGTTCAAGTCCGGAGTCAGTGGTTTCTCATTTAATTATGATGTATGAAAGCAGTTGTGTGTCCACCGTCATATGGTCACACGGAGCCCATATTTAAAGCTTTATATTTCTTTTTTCTTCTTTTACAGCAGAATTGTTTTTGTCTCCACCTTTATGGTGAGCAGCCATTGGCCGGTTACTGGTTAGCCCTTTGATTGAGATGCCAAGAGTTGCTCACATAACAGATTTCACGTTAAATGTTTTGTGTAAATACCCTCTATGCTGTGGTATTTTTGCTCCAGGCTCTCATACTGTGAAAATCTCCTGCTGGCTTCAGTCCCTGCTGGAGAGCGCTCTGGTCTTTCTGACACCAAAAACAAATCCAGCTGGTGTGAGTTTTCATAATATATCAAAAAGTTGGTTAATGCTCTTGAATTTCTTCAAGCAGCAAACAAATTGCTGTTAGTTGTTCATCTTCATTTTACAATGGATGCTATGTTTACAGCAGTTTCTAATAAAATCAGTTTCAGCTCTATATTAGTGGTTACTTTTGGCGTAGTTTTGTAACTATTTGTTGGATCTTAATGGATTTTGTATATGCGCCAATGTATACTGTGGAGAGATATTTAAATAATATATATATGTATATAAAGCCAAATATAAATATTGTACTATTGTTAACAACGATTAATTGAAATAAATATATTTTGTTTTCTACTGTGGATTGCATTTATTTACGGAAATCTTACAAATAAGGGACTTTTTTTCCTCTGCTGTCAGGTTATACGACAGATATATTTCATTTCCTTTTATATTATAATTACAAAATATTTATTTGGAACAAAAAAAAAAAACACCTTTGGCACACTGAAACACACAATGGGGTTACTTTCTTTATTTAGAACTGTTAGAATAGAATAGATACACAATAGTGTTTTAGCCCAGTCATAAAATCTTTGTGTGATAGCAAACCAAACCAATTGAAGGTTTGAATATTCCTAACTCTTGTATATACCAATAGTTGGAATTCCTATAAGGCTAAGTCCAGTTACCCTAATAAAGGAAGCTCACTTCAGACACTTACTGGATCTGTCTTTCTTTGCAAAGAACCTGAGCTTGGCCCTTCCTTCACCACCTTAGAATGGAGCAATTACCTCATCATTACCATTATCAAAGAGGCCCCCATCCTACTACATTAAGACATTTGAACGTTTCTGCTTGAGGGAGAGACATACCTCCATCCCAGGACACAATGCACCTGAATTTGGTTGAGAACAACAACCTCACACCCAGAGGGAGCCATCTCCCCTTCTGGTCACTTGAATATCTGCTGCAACCTTCTCCTATACAACTGAGCAACTTCAACTAGTAAAATCAAGAATTACGTTCTGGCATTTTCCAGCCATAAAACATTTCCTTATGGCTGTTTTGGCATCATCAAATTTGATAAGTAACTTGGGGCAGCCCTGGTCATGTCCATCGCACATTGGCAACTGCTCTCAACTTCATGTCAAGAGTAATGATACTGCTCTTGCTTTAGTTTTTACCAAAGAATAACATCAGTGCAACCCATTCTTTCTGAATGCCTTGACTTGACATGTCTTCTCCAGATCCACAAAACACTCAAGGGTAATCAGACACTGAAATTCCCATGGCAAAGTTAGCAATCCAAGGCAAATATCTGGTTCACCACTCCACACCAAGCAGGATGGATTCTGCATTCCTCCGAGATCCAAAAGTTATTTTCTTTTATTTATTTTTTAGCATGCTTAAGCTATTTTAGTGTTCCCCTCTTGTCGACTGAGTCAAAAAAGAGTCATATTATGTATTTTTAGGCATTGGGTTTGCGTTATTTCATCTGACTATATAATATTTACTTTGAACCAGTATCAGGAATACCAGATATAGGTTATAAATTAATAATGCTGTATGCAAATATTTAAACTCGGATAACATTTGGTCTGTGTAAGCCTGATTAGGCACAAGTTGCTTGCCAATACATCCCTGCAACTTAGAGATGTTGATAAATTGCAAACTGTTTCTATTCAGAAAACAAATCATATTTGCAGGTTTATTAAATCAATTTTCACATTGTTCAAAAGCGGATAAATCTGAGGTTTACATTGCAAGCAGAGCCCAGATTATTTTTCTTTATCAATCTGTGAAAGGAATAGAATAGAATAGAATAGAAAATCCCTTTATTGACCCACAATCAGGAAATTCTGGTGTTTACAGCAGCAAAAAGATTACATAAAAAATGGTCACACAAATGTGGACGTTAGAAAAATGTATAAGAATAACATAATATTGAAAGAGTTAAAAGTTAAGCAATAAAACACTGTAATGTGAAGCGTTTTAACAATTTAAAACTGCATCTGTAGAATAAATAACCAATATACGGACATATTTACAGTAATGGATGTTTGTAAATAGCAGCAACATCAGAGATGTGCAAAATGGCAGCAGCATTTTATTTAACTGACTAAGGTAGAAACTGTGCAAAAGCAGCATGAACGTAATATTTTATTGAGGTTGTTGGGAACAGTGGTGGTTTTAGTCTTACAGCTGCAGGGAGGAAGGATCTGTGATAATGCTCCCTTGTGCATTTAGGGTGCAGTAGTCTGTCACTGAAGGAGCTCTCCAGTTCTGCAACAGCTACATGCATGGGGTTGGAGACATTATCCAATAGAGATGTTGATTTAGTTAGGATCCTTTTGTTTCCAACCTCCTGCACTGAGTCCAGAGAGCATCCAATCATAGAGCTGGCCTTCCTGATCAGCTTATCCAGCCTCTTTCTCTCAGCTAGAGATAATTCACTGCTCCAACAGACGGCTGCATAGAAGATGGCTGATGCCACAGCAGAGTCATATAAGGACCCCTTGTACTCCAAACTACCTCAGTCTCCTCAGCAGGAAGAGTCTGCTCTGACCTTTCTTATACATTATTGTCAAGGCAGAGAACATTACACAAAATGAAAGTTTCCACAGGTGTCTGCTGCAGAAGACGAAGTTTTTTTTGTCTTTTTTTGTCTTATTTTTATTTTTTTATTTTTTTTGGGGGGGGGGGGGTTGCACAGAAGAAAAAGAATAAAACAAACAAAAAAGAAAAAAAGGGGAAAAGTTCATCATTTGATACTTCAAGTGAACCAAAGAGCCATTTGCAGCCCTGGAAACCTCAGATCTGGCAAATAAAACTGTAAGGTTTTATTTGTTCAGGTAAGAAAAACCTTTCATGAGTACATCTAATATTGCAGAAACAGAGCCTATTATGGACCCCAGTCCACACCAAGGTGTCAGAGAAATATTTCGTAAGGCTGGTGATGCAATGTTTCCATCAAACCCATGTGTGCAGATGCCTGTTATGGAGTTGCGTGAAGGTCAGATAAATTGTGAAATAAGGCCTACAGAGGAAGAATTGGGACAAGAGGTACGAAAGGAGTTTCAGATGCTAGATTTAATAGAGGAGGCCGTAAATAAAGCATTTCAGCATTTCAGTTCCTATTGTTATGAAAATGTCGATGTTTCTGTGATTTTTGGAGGTGAACCTTGGAAAGGAAAGCTTAAAATATAAGAGGTTGATATATTTACAATTTACGATGTCTTGAAATTAACATTTTAAAGGTAAGAAGATCAATTAGTACATTTTCAGTGCGGTAAACCCCAACCCCGGCCCAACATTGAGCTCCAGAAGGTGGATCACACAGAGCAGCCCTTCACTTAGAGGCAGGAGAGAAAGGAAAAAGCAGACACAGAGAGACTGAGTGCACACAGGGCCGATCACAGCAGAGGCAGGGCCCAGGAGTCTAGAAGCAGTTTTTACCTTAAAGACATCTACCAATTACTACACTAGAATGGTATTGTAATCTGCATTTAGAGTGACTGATTCAGGAGCTTATATTTGAAAATGTTAGACCACACAAGCTAAGTTTGTCAAACTGTAGCAAAGTGAATATAAATTAAACACTGATCACTGAGGATACTCTAAGGTGGATTAAATGGATCTTTACTCAGTCAACTGTTCAGAATAGAGTGGGTTACATCAAATAGATAAATTAGGACGGTTGAGTTCAGTGGATAAAAGAGAGGCAGACAGCAGTAGATGAAATGGAGGGTGAGTTGGATAGAGAAGGGGAGAAATGGGCAAAGAAGATCGAAGTGCGGGTTCAGTAAGAATTAGAGAAAGGAAGTCAATGCAGCAACACTAGGGAGGCCGGGATCCCACTATTTGTTTAGTTATGGAGGTAGTTTTTGAGAAATTTCCAGCAGCAGTGATAGTTATTTTGATTGAGGGCAGCGACTGTCCTATTATGGTTGATACGGGGGCCAGATACAGCACCCTGAATCTTCACGTGCCCCCTGCCAAAAAACTACACAGGTAATGGGATTTTCAGGAGAAAAACAAAACATACCACTTTTTCAGAACCCCTTAGAGGTGTTCTCATATTTGAAAATTCAAACATGTCATTTTTGGGGGACGCTTAGAATTAAAAATCATTGGGTGTGAAAACTTATTTTGGTGTCTAACGTGAGCAAATAAATCTTAGGTTTCCATAAATGTGCACATATAGTTTAACAAGGATCCTAAAATGAGGCTGAAAAGCACTGGTGCAGAGGTCTTAAGACCGGACTGGTGAAAAGATTATGACTTTTTGTTTAAATTGGGAAAAAAAATCCTCTAAGAAGATAAATCTAAATTGATACTGATGGATTAAATAAACTTTATGTGGCCAATGTCTGTCTGTCTGTCCTAAATGTGGAATGCATGTGAGGTAGAATGTGTGTGGTCAAGTTGGGAATGATTAAGAATATTTTTTGATGTGACATTAACATGATTAACATGATTTGCATTTTTACAGGATTGAGAAGGAGCACTGGGGGCATAACAGAAGGGTAATCGTTTCAAACATGTTGCTCAGGGGCCCCAACTAGGAGAGGCCGTGACAAGACCAGAGCAGGTTGCTGTTGTAGGGTGTGAGGTAATTTTTGGGTGTGGAGTGCAGCTGAGATACTGTAGATTAATAGATTATACAGTAGATTAGAAAAATAATTAAATATATAAGTAATTATCCAGAAAGAAGCAGAATGAGTGTTTTTACTTTTTGGGAAACTAAAATCTCAGACGGGGGCATTACATGATTTTAATTTAAAGGTGGTTTCATTTTCAATCATTAGAATTGCATTAGAGATTGATTAGTTTCATTTTTCTCTCATTAGGATTTTATTAGAGATTGATTAGGGACAGGATAAATCACACTTCGAGCTGGAACTGGACACAGCATATGGCCAAGATACCCGCAGGAGCTCAGCAGATTAGCGGGGTCAACTTTTATAAACAAGGCTGGAGAGTTAAGAACAATTTCGGTGTGACCTGACCCTGAGTTTTTCAGCCTTCAGTTTTTATCCATAATTATTTTTATCTGTGTATAATGCCGTTTGGAAACTGCCTAAGCACGAACTGATTAATTTGCATCTCTAATCATTACTAACACTTATCTTTTCACTGTTCATCTGGGCCTTACCTTCTTTGCATGACTTGTTAAATTCTGCTAACTTTACAAATTTCTGTGAATGAAGTGATTAACTATTGACTAATTGATGTACATTTTGATTACTTTTTCCTGGTAACAAACCAGAGGGGTCATTTACTTTTTCCCTGCTTGTAGAGAGTGACAGTGCGGCTGTCAGGGAGCAGGCA